TATCAGAGGATGGCTTCTTACCCTCGTCATGTTGTCCTCTCTCCCTCTTCTTGTGATAGCTGGTGCAGCGATGTCCTTCATTATAGCCAACACAGCATCCCAAGGACAGAATGCTTATGCAAAAGCGGCAACTGTTGTTGAGCAGATAATTGGTTCAATCAGAACTGTAGGTCTTATAGTCGGAAATATACTCAGCATATCGTTTATTTTTCTTCCTTGAATTCACAAAAACATGACCGACTATTTTATCTGATACCAGGTTGCATCATTTACTGGTGAAAAGCAAGCCGTAAGCAATTACAACAAGTTTCTCGTTAGTGCTTACAGATCAGGTGTTTACCAAGGCTCTATTTCTGGATTGGGCCTTGGCATGGTCATGTTAGTCATTTTCTGCAGTTATGCTTTGGCTGTATGGTTTGGTGGGAGGATGATTTTGGAAAGGGGTTACACTGGTGGTGAAGTAGTTAATGTGATTGTTGCTATAATGCCTGGTTCCATGTGAGTTAAATATTGAATTATTTCTTGTTCCTAGTAACCTGCATTATTTTGCTAGACAGGGAGTAATTTTCTTATTTTCCTTGTGATGATTCAGGTCGCTGGGGCAGGCATCTCCCTGCATGAATGCATTCGCTTCTGGTCAAGCGGCAGCATTTAAGATGTTTGAAACTATTAAAAGGAAGCCTGAGATAGATGCTTATGACAATAAAGGAAAAATATTGGAGGACATTCGGGGGGATATAGACTTGAGGGATATTTGTTTCAGTTATCCAGCCAGACCAGGGGAGCAAATTTTCAATGGATTCTCTCTTACCATTCCAAGTGGCACAACTGCTGCTCTGGTTGGACAAAGTGGAAGCGGGAAATCAACTGTAATCAGTCTCATAGAGAGATTTTATGATCCACAAGCTGGTGAAGTTCTTGTAGATGGCATTAACCTCAAGGAATTTCAGCTTAAGTGGATCAGAGGAAAGATTGGCCTTGTCAGCCAGGAGCCTGTGTTGTTTACATCAAGCATTCAGGATAATATTGCATATGGAAAGGAAGGGGCAACAAGAGAAGAGATAAGAGCTGCAGCTGAACTTGCAAATGCTGCTAAGTTCATTGACAAACTACCTAAGGTTTTGCTGTCTTCTTTAACTGACTACTTCCTAGTTCTTATCCCAATTTTTACAATTATATGAATTCACTACTTATGCATTTTGAACTTTATACAAAGGGACTAGAGACAATGGTTGGTGAGCATGGAACTTAGCTTTCTGGAGGACAGAAGCAGAGAGTGGCAATAGCAAGAGCAATTCTAAAAGACCCTCGGATTTTACTTTTAGATGAAGCTACAAGTGCGCTAGATGCAGAATCTGAGAGGACAGTGCAAGAGGCATTAGACAGAATAATGGTGAATCGAACTACTGTCATTGTTGCTCATCGTCTGAGCACAGTGAGGAATGCAAATATGATAGCTGTTGTTCATCAAGGAAAGATGGTTGAAAAAGGTATGATAAATCATAGCCATATAACTCATCTTAACTTATTCATGTTTGAAGCAACATAACCTGTGCATGTCGCCATTGCATAGATTGTTAATCAACTAAACTTCTTGTCTTGTTCTGCAGTATTGCAGCATATGTGTCAGATGTTTTTTTTTTTTTGGCCAAAATATTTTCCAGATGGTTGCACTTTGATATTTTAAGTGTATCCAGAACTAAGTATTTATCACACATATTCTGAAATAATATTGAAAAGCTCTGAACTTGTCCTAGTAGTTCTAGCAGAAACAAATGAAATCATTCTCGCATTCCTAGCTTTTCACAAAAAAAAATCTTTTTTAATATTTGATAACATGGTTTTCAATTGATCAGGGTCTCATTCAGATTTGATCAAGGATCCTGATGGAGCTTAATCTCAGCTCATACGTTTACAGGAAGTAAATAGAGAGTTAGAAGAGGTGCCAGATGACAAAAACGGATCAGACTTTACTGAGAAATCATTTATACAGTCAAGTCCGAGAATGCCATTGAAGAAATCAACCAGTAGGGGATCATCTAGAGCAGGAAGTAGCAGTCACCATTCTTTCTCTGTATCTTCTGGTTTACCTACTGGACAGAATGTCACAGGTAGCGTGGTGGCAGATGCCGCAGCTCTTCCTACAATACCATCAGCACAGGCTTCAGAAGTGTCAATTCGTCGGCTTGCATCTCTCAACAAGCCAGAGATTCCCGTGCTTCTACTTGGAACTATAGCTTCAATTGTCAATGGATTAATACTTCCAATTTATGCTCTGCTTCTTTCTGAGGCCATCAAAACCTTTTACAAACCACCTAATGAACTTAAAACAGATTCAAGATTCTGGGCGCTGATATTTATGGCCCTTGGCCTGGCATCATTATTGGCATATCCAGCAGAAACATACCTCTTTTCTGTGGCTGGATGTAAACTAATCCAGCGAATAAGATCAATGTGTTTTGAGAAAGTGGTTCACATGGAGGTCGGTTGGTTTGATGAACCTGAGCACTCGAGTGGTTCACTTGGAGCAAGGCTCTCAGCGGATGCAGCAACATTGCGTGCTCTAGTTGGTGATGCACTAAGTCAAAAGGTTCAAAGCATTGTATCAGCAGTTGCTGGTTTGGTCATCGCTTTTGTTGCAAGTTGGCAGTTGGCTTTGATCGTCCTAGCACTTTTTCCTCTGATAGGGATCAATGGTTACATTCAAATGAAGTTCATGAAGGGATTTAGTGCAGATGCAAAGGTGCGCTCAAAGCTAAGGACCTCCAATTTATTCCTGCACCTTGTTTAACATTAAGAACTCCAAGGTCAAAATGATTATAGCCTTATTCAATATCAAGAAATTGCTACTAGCATTACCACACATAGTTATATTGTGCTATAAATTCTCCATAAAGTAAAACCAGTATGTTTTTAACAAGGGTTAATGTTATGAATGGCTAGTGAAATGTTTAATGTGGTACCTAAAATTTAAAAATCTCTAATATAGCATCTAAGTTATGAATATATTAACTAATATGATATTTGGAGGGTTGTTTGTCTGTCATATGTCATCATTTAAAGTTAGTCAGATTAGGGGTGAATATCATATTAGTTAACGTATTCATAGTTCATATATCATATTAGAGTATTTTAAAGCTCAGATTCTACATTGAACATTTCTTTGTAGTTTAGGGGACATTAACCCTTTTGACAATATAATTTATCTTATACAAGTATAATTGGCTGCAGATGATGTATGAGGAAGCAAGCCAAGTTGCTAATGACGCAGTTGGGGGTATAAGAACAATTGCTTCCTTCTGCGCTGAGGAGAAAGTGATGCGACTTTACCAAAGGAAATGCGAAGGGCCCATGAAGACAGGGATAAGACAGGGTTTGATAAGCGGAATAGGATTTGGGGTGTCATTCTTTTTGATGTATTCTGTTTATGCAACTAGTTTCTATGCAGGAGCTCAACTTGTGGAGCATGGTCATGCTACATTCTCAGATGTTTTTCAAGTATTTGTTCTAGCTCTATCGAATTATTTCTTTAATCCTTTTCAAGACTACCAAATTCTTTCAACTTGTTTCATTGATACTGAAGCTAATACCCATTTTGCAGGTTTTCCTTGCTTTGACGATAGCTTCTGCTGCAATTACTCAATCAAGCACCTTTGGTTCTGATTCCAGCAAAGCAAAAACCGCTGCTGCTTCCATTTTTGCTATTATTGATCGGAAATCTATGATAGACGCAGGTGATGAGTCAGGGATGACATTAGAAGATGTGAAAGGAGAAATTGAGCTTTGTCACGTGAGCTTCAAGTATCCATCAAGGCCAGACATTCAAATTTTCCAAGACTTGTGCTTGGCTATTCCTGCTGGCAAGGTAATCATCAATTGCATTGAGCGTAATCTCTTTCAACTTTCAAGCAGTTAACTACTTCACAAATTAATCCTAGGGTCTAACTTTATGGTGTGAATCTCTTCTCTCAGACAGTTGCTCTGGTTGGAGAAAGTGGAAGTGGGAAGTCAACTATAATCTCACTATTGCAGAGATTTTATGATCTTGATTCGGGTCAAATTAATCTAGATGGAGTTGACATACAAGAGCTCCAATTGAAGTGGCTGAGGCAGCAGATGGGTCTTGTAAGCCAAGAACCTTTTTTGTTTAATGATACAATACGTGCCAACATTGCATATGGGAAGGGAGGAAATGCAACCGAGGCCGAAATTTTAGCTGCATCAGAGTTGGCCAGTGCTCACAACTTCATTAGTGGCTTACAACAGGTTAGACATTCTAAAGTATTTTCCTGTATCATTTTGGTACCAGAAGAAGCAATTCGGCTAGCCCACTATAGAGTAAAATTATGTAACTTTGTTTTAAACTATTAGTAATAGATATAATTGATTTGCAGGTGTGCTAAGTATTCCTTTTTTCTTTTTCTTTTTTCACCCTTCTATATTACAGGGTTACGATACTGTAGTAGGGGAGAGAGGAGTTCAATTGTCAGGTGGGCAGAAGCAAAGAGTAGCCATTGCGCGTGCCATAATTAAGAGTCCAAAGATATTACTCTTGGATGAGGCCACAAGTGCATTGGATGCTGAATCCGAGAGAGTGGTTCAGGATGCACTAGACAGAGTCATGGTGAACCGCACGACAGTTGTAGTCGCTCATCGGCTATCCACAATCAAGAACGCAGATGTTATTGCAGTAGTAAGAAATGGCATTATTGTAGAGAAAGGAAAGCATGAGACCTTGATAAACATCAAAGATGGTTGCTACGCTTCCTTAGTGGCACTTCACTTGAGTGCTTCAAGTTCAAGTGCATAAAGGACTAAAGAGTCAGCCATTCTATTTCATTATTGATTAAGAAAAAAGAATATGTATCATAGCTTTGCAATTGTAGTGGGTAGCAGTTCTTTCTTTAGGCAGAAATCTGCACTAATGAGTTTCAACTTGTAGTCATGACTCGAGGGTTACTTTTAAGATTTAAGGCAGAAAATGAAGGCCATGGTTGACCTAGCTTGGTAACTCCACTGATATTGGATATAAGAACACTAATCATCTTCACTTTCATCACTGTATGAAACAAGACCTGTCTTAGCAACATCAACAGACTTGTTGGTATCACCATTAGGTGTGTTCAAAGGATTTGGAGTTTTCACAGTATCAACATCAGGTGCTCTTATTGTGTTAGGCAGTTCTTTCTCCTGGTCAATTTTTGCCTTTTTTGCTTGTGGCTTGACTTTTATGATCATACTTAGAGGGCGAGTTGCTGGATTCTTCCTCCCAACTGATTTATGTTCCTGCCAGCAGAACTATTTAAAAGCAGCAGAGAAGGCTAATAACTACAATATAAGGTAGAATAAAACTTGATTAGTGTCATGTCAATCCATCATAAGAAAATATAATATTGTTATTTAATTCAGGCAACGATGCAAAAATTCATAGGGAGTAAAAAACAAGGTTAACTAAATTTTGTGGAAATGAAACCTGAAAACACCAAAACGGGTTACCTAACCATATGGCATAAAAGCTGTGTCAATTCCAAAGCCTAGTTAAGGTCCAAACCATAAAGTTCATGAGATCAAGTACAAGCATGTTATTAATTGATAACCAACCTGGCTTGCAGGAACAGGCGGTGTTTCTTTAAGTTCATGCACAATATTTGACCGTGCTGCCACAGCTGCCTGAAAAGGAAACAAAAAACTACTGTATGAGATGAAATAAAATATTAAGTAAACAATAGAGCAAATGGTTTTACAAAATCCATACGGCTAATCTAAACTTGTAACATAACTATTCATACACTGCTCAAGAAGATTTCTATTTAGCAAAATGATAGCCGCAGCGATATTCCCACACATTGCAACAATAACAGCTCTCTGAAAACTTATATATGATACTTTTTAATTATCTGATGCATTCAACTTAAGTCAACAGCAAAAAAATATTCAGTCTTTACTGATCCTCCAGATGGAAAACAAACAATCAGAGCACACATGGATTCTAAAATCTAATGGTTAAACAGCAGAGATAATTGCAGGATTCTTCTGTTTAATATGTTGGCTTGTTTAAACTATACAATCAACTGGTCCTTAAGAATCAAATATCACATCACATTCTTCGTATGTTTAAATAATTTGTAACTTGGCAGTTCTACTATTAAAATTAAGATACATAAGTGTTAACTCAAAATAAAACAATAAACTTCAAATTATCAACGTAAAGGGACAGGCTGATCAACTGAGTACAACAAGATTGTAGATACTCAATTTTTAATACTTTTAGTATAGTGACACCTACAACTCGTTACTGGGTAGAAAATTACTTGGAAACTTCGAAGCTGTTCAGCTTCCTCATCTGCCACTTGTCGTTCATATTCCCTTCTTGACTGCATTAACAAGAAAAATATCAGAGAAAATTGGAAAGCATACGAAAATAAAAAAGCAATCAGTTTTTTAGGAGGTTAAACTATCAATATTTCCAGCATTCAGTAGATAAATCAAAAAGAAGAGGTCAATACTGCCAAAAGAAGAAAAACAATCAGCAATGATTGCAAAAGAAGAAAACAAAAACTTTTATCTAATTCAACAGCTTCAATGTATTTATTTAATTGGACGTCATTGTAAATATTAAAGCAGTCCTGACCGTTTCCAAATTATCAAGAAACTCAGTTTCGTCTTCATCCAAAGGTTTGGGTGGCCCTGCAAATGAAGAAAATGTTTAAAGCTCTTGTTCTCAGTTACATTATCAAATAATAGCAATTCGAAAAGTTAAGCACTCACTGTGTTTGAACCGTTCATTAAACTCAGCATCTTTCTTGTCTTTATTCTCTTTCAAAATCTGCATTAAATGGTTTAAAAAACAAAAAAAAAAATCATATTTTGAGCTTCATTGGAAAAAATTAAAAGGAAAATAAAAAAACACAGATCCTTTTAGAAGAAAAAAAAAAGAAAAAAAAAAACCTCGTAAAGAGGCCTATCCCTTTGGGCAGTGCCATCTTCAATTCGTTCACCTCTTGTTCTTTTTGCTTCATCTAACTGCCGTTAATCGTCATAATCAACAACGAACAATTAGATTTTAATCATAATCAACGAATACAAAAATTAGGGTTTAACATGAAAGAGAGTGGTACCATAAAATTACCTGTTGCTCTGAGACGAAGTTCATCAACTTGATTGAATTCGATGATTCGTCAGCCATTTTCTTAATTTTGAGCTCCAACTCAAGACAAATTCAAATCACTGCACCTTCTAATCTTACTTGATTTTTTTCTTTTTTCTTTTTCCTTCGAAGTAGAACTTACTACAATCGAAATCTGATTTTGGCTCCCAATGTTTCTTTAGGTGAATGGCGCACGGCCTAATTCTTTTCTTATTTTTGGAAAATGGATACGTGGCGCAATACTATGGGCAATTAGAATTGGCTTCCGGTGATTTGGATACCACAGAATCGTTTTCACCTTTGGCCTCCTGAAATCATGATCTATTTTGGGCTAGTTAGCCCAAAGAAATCTGGACTTGGCTGTCGTTTCGTCTTGAAATCTCCCGGTCAAGGCAGCTTCTGTTGAGCCTTGCAGGCCTTGCTTATGTTGCTTGATTTTAATTATAGCGATTACAATTTTTTTTTTTATATTAGCGATTATAAAAAGTTAAAAACGAGTAAAACATTGTTTCAACAAAAAAATAAAAGAAATTACTTTATACTACAAGATTTGATAGACCGACTATACGGGTTAAAAAATTTTATTAGTTAATAAAATAAGGTTAATGTTATTAATGATTATTAAATTATAGTGAAATATTTTATTAGTTAACAAAAATGAATGGCATTGAGATGCATAAGTGAGATTAAAAGGTGAAAATTGAGAGTGCAAATGATCATTATCTCATTCTTTAATAGCTAAATGATTGACGGATATTCATTAGTAAAATTCAGATTTTTTTTAATTATCTGATGCAGTTATTCGTTTCTGTATCTGTCAAGGTTGTATTTTCAAGCTTTCCAGATTCCTGGAACAATAGTTTCAATGGCCAAAGCGGAAAGACACTAATTCAACAATCAATAATACTTATGTTTATAGATAGGACATATAACCATCACTTCCATAAGTTTATAGATGGGATATATAACCATCACTTCCATATTCTAATTCTAGTTATACATGATCAGAAATATTACAGAGAAGTGCCAAAGTATTCCATCACAAACTATCGATTATGCAAATGCTCCTTTTGTCTTCGCGGGGCTATTTCATAGCCTGAAATGTTGCAGGGCAGAAGTTCCATCAAGGCCTTTTTCATTGAAGTGGATAAGATATTCTATCACAGTAGTTTCCCTGTATTTTGCTGGATTTTCTTCTGATAACAACTCCTTAATAGGTCCATATAATATTGGGTTTGGCTGAAAAGCTGTTATGAAAAAGCATGCCACTGATATTCTAGGTCCTATACAATTCGCCAGCACTCTATGCTCCACGCTTATAAGATTGTCATTTGATATAAGCTGAAAAAACAAACAAACACAAAATAAATCGATCACTTGCATAGTTATGAAGCTGATTGTTGACTTTGTAATGCACTCGCCATACTAATTTCTAGTAACAGAAATCTATCAGGCTTGCCTGTAACAGATCTCCAATGTTAACTACCAAAGCCCCAGGAGTTGGAGGTACATCAACCCACTGATTTTCATGAAGAACTTGGAGGCCACCAATATGGTCTTGTAGAAGCACCGTGAGGAAGTCACTGTCAGCATGTTTGCTAGCACCTAGAGTCAATTCTGGCTGTGGACATGCCGGATAGTAATGGCACAGCAGACCTAGACCCTTTGCACAATCTAGCTTCAGCAGGTGGTCAGGATTCAATCCAAGAGCTTCTGATAATAACTCAAAGAGCAAACAACCCAAACTCATTAATTGGCTTGAGTACTCCACCATTATATCCCCGCAGGTAAATTATGCGGGTGAGTGAGAGTTAATTTTCTTTTAGGTTTACTTTTACCCTAACATATACCTGAATGGTTCAGGCAACTCTTCCAGCTTAGGAGGATTAGGAGCCATGCTGCAAAAAATAGAATCTCTCCAGTTAGCTGCTGGGGCAGTATGCAGATCAAAATTGCAATTGTAGACCACTTTTTTCATATTATCACGAGTGTAGTACTGTTTTTTGACTTCAGCATCTTGTTCGAAAAACCTACGTACACGATCCTTCATCTCCTCTAGAACACTCATTGGAATTCCATGGTTAATAACTTGAAAAAATCCCCATTGCTTTGATGCATTACGGACTTCGCAGACAATCTCCTTCCTAGTAATTGGATTCTCCTTCACTCCTTCAAGGTCTACAACAGGAATAGTAAACTGGGTGCCGCCTGGAACTGAGGTTTTCTCAAACTTATCCCGTGGTTGATGAAACATTCGAGGAACCTCAGTAACTCCATCATCCACAAGTCCTTTGACACCAGCTTTTGTGTCATCAAAAGCTTTAACTTCACTTGCTCTATCATATTCAGGTTTCGATGTAGTCTGGACCTCACCTGTGTTGGCTACCACCATTTTCTTTTCTTGTTTTGTTAGGTTGCCTCTTTGCTCAACACAATCTTGCAATCTTGGTAACTGACAATCAAGGCAATTAAAATAAATAGAGGGGGAAAGAAGAGTTTTGGGATGACAACAAAAAGTGAAAGTGACCAGAGAAAAATCTAAAGAAACTGTATGTGAAATTTGTGAATTCATGAAGCTACCTGCCGTGCACATCAACCACAGGTCTTTTTTCATCAAGACTAGACGATGCCCGCGCTTTGCAGCGGATAATTTGGAGACAAACATTAGCAAAATCCAGAAACATAGTAATTTTATATCACAAATGTTTGATTTATAAAATAGTTTAATTACAAAAGAAGATGCGTTTTGGAGCTCTGAAAACTATTTTCATGATAAGCAAAAAGGGATTTAGCAGTGACTAAATATGAAATGCAAACTCAAACCAAAGTAATTCAAATTAGAAAAAGAAGAGTAGAAGACCATAGTAGGTGACGCAAAGGAGCAATAAGAATGTTTTAACTATATTATATAAAGCAATGAAGAATTCTATTAGTAGGGCACATCACAATTACAAATGTGAAAATTTTGAGAAAATAATATTAGCAAATAAAGATAGCTTTCTTCCTCTCTTAAGTATCTAAACAATCACCATAGTTGTAATTCAAGTAAATACATCAAAATTTTGATTTTAATAATTCAACGATAATGATATGAACCTTCATTATTCAAATACAAAGAATTTCAAACATATAATAAACTTAGGAGCTTGTATAACAATAAGCTAAAAATATATGATTAGAACATCGCAAAGCATCGCTTGTTAGCATTCATATAAATAATTTTGATGCTAATGAAAAATGAAAATGCATTAGCAGCAATGATCATTTGGATTGATATTAAAATATTAAACAAACTAAAATGTTCAATTTAAGGTAAAAATAAGGAAAACTATAAGAGCCAGAAAAGGTTTTTGAATGGACACTAATTTAAGGCAATATGAAAAATTAAGAGGAAAAAATGGAAAATTTCCCTCAATATCATAACATTCCCCAATAACCAAAATTTGTGGAAAAATAATAACCTTTTTAAATCCCCAAAACAGAGTCCCAGGCAAATTCAATATCAATTACATATTCATGTATTTATAATAAATTTGTCCCAAAGAATACAATATAAGTTACTATCAAATTTTAAGAACAAACCCCAATTGAAAGCTTAATTAAATGACATGTATCATTCAATTGATCAATTGAACAAGCATTTTATGCTTCTGAATTCAATTTATCCAATTTTAAAATGTTTGAATTCATTACCTTTTAAAAAAAATGATGTAAAAAACACTGGATCTAAAAAAAAAATGAATTGATTAAAACACACATTTCACAATACAATCCTAGACGATTTAAAAAAAATTAAAAAAGTCTAAAAAAGTATATATATTGGAAAAGAACTTCGTACTATTTCCTTTTATTATAAAAGTAAAAAAATCAAACTCAAAACCTAGGAAACTAACCCAATAAAAAATCATTTTTTTCTTGCATTTATCTCAAACCTGATAAAGATTTAGAGTTACTATTTCAAGAGTGAAGATGAGTGCTAGAAGTGTCAACAACACTGAATCTGAAAAAAAAAAAAAATGAATTGATTAAAACAAATAAATTTCACAATACAGTCCCAGACGATTAACAAAAAAAAAAAAAAAGAAAATCAAATTACTCATAAAAACACCACAAAGCATAAAAGTAATGAAAGAAAACCCAAAAAAAAAAAAAAACAAAGAAATACATAAAAGGTTACCCACTAAAACGATATAAATAAATAAAAGCTAACCTAAAAAAGAAAGATAAAAGAAATTAAAAAAAAAAAGGAAATAAGAGGAAAAACATACAGAGCAAAAAGCAATAGTTTTTTCTACTTTTTGATTTAACCTTGTCTAACTGCCTATTTTACCTCATTTAACTGATGTAAAATACTTAACAAACCTCTTAAATAACAAATAACTACTTAACCGGTGTAAGATCTATCATGAAATTAAGATACCTGTAACTTAAAACTCCCTCAAGTATTGAAGCTTCTTCTCTTCCAGCAATTTTATATACAAGAAAAACATGACTTAGTTACCAAACTATTTTTTTTTTTAATTTCCATTAAAAGATTATAGATACTAATAACAAAATGTTGGTTTAATAATACTGAAAGCAATTTCAAAACCAACACTCAAACTAATTTCTTTTTAATTTCCATTAAAAGATTATAGATATTAAAACAAACGTTAGTTTAATAATACTGAAAAGGGATTTCAAAACTACCACTCCAAAATTGACATTGACAACAGCGAATTCAAACTTCAATCATATTAGAAGCAATTATAATAAGTCTTTATCCAGCTTTATCTTATTGCGAGTCGTAAAGGGGTAATCAATTCATCGTTGTTTCAGATTCGGATATTCACGGGGCAAAAGAGAAATTCGGATAATCCTGTAGAAAACGCGTTGGCAATTTTCCTTGGCCGTCGCTTTCTACTCTTTCTCAGGACGTCTTCTGGACACGAAATGCTCGCCTTGTGCTTATGTGGCAACCAAAGAGGAAAGCATATTGCCTCGTGGCGGGAAAGGATTGAGCTGGCAAAATCCTAACCGTCATTTTTCGGATGATGTTATCGCACCGCTGATATTAAACCGAAACGCATGTCAAAGACTCATTAAAGCGTGGCAAACCGAATTCCTCACGAGCGCGCCACTGCCGAGGGCAATGACCCTCCACGTCAGCTTTAGCTTTAAACCAACCAGTAATAACCGGCCACGCGTACTAGTTCCTTCCCTTCCAGGAAACCGAAACCGTTAGGGACACGAATACTTGGTTCATATATTTGCTTCTTCCAAACCCATCTTGTTTCTTTAAGCTAACGGGGAATCGAAAGCATCGGATTTATTCGCCATGGAGGCCTCTGGTATTGTTTACAGGACAGTTTCAAGGTTGCCGGCGACTAGGGTTGGTTTTGGTGGTCGGTTTTCCAGGGAGTTGAATCTTGGTGTTGGAGATTCCAGGGTTTCAGTTAGGCCTAGGATTAATTCTTGCGGGAGGTTGAGTTGTCAGTTTTCTGATTCAGGGCATGCCCAGTATTATATATCAAGGGTTGGTGGTGTTACCAACAAGAAAGACAAGGAAAAGAGCTGTGAGATTAAAACAGTTAAGAAGAAATTGAAGTTTATTAAGAGATTGTCCGAGGACTTGTCCATGTTTTCCCAGATGGTTGATGGAGAAGATATTGGGATTGGTCTGATCGGTGAAGTTAAGGTAACCATGGTTTCTGTAAGAAATTAATTTTCCGTTTCTTTTGTCACTACCTTTTATTTTTATTGGTTTGATGGTTGATACGGTTGTCTTTGCCTGATAAATAGTTTTTTTTTTTTTTATACCAAATTTTGGTGCTGATAAACTGTGATCCTTTCTTTGTATTGGAATTAGGATGTTTATGATATATTGGATAGGAAATTTATACGTTGTTTTGTTATTGCAGGAAGCAAGCGTCGTTTTGCTGGCACAACTGCAACAGTTGAGATCAGAACAAGAAGAGTTTAAGAGAAAATTGAAAGAGGAAAGAGCCCAGCTCAAAGCGGCTTTGGAGAAATCAGAATCAACATCTTTCTCTTCCCCAGAGTCAAGTGACGGCGAATGTGGAGAGGTATTTGACACGAGAACCCTGAGAAGAAATGCTTTAAAACCATCGCAAGACATAGAAATACCAAGTGACAATGCTTGGAAACCATCACAAAACATGGAAGCACCAACGGTGACAGGGGAAGCAACGTTAGAAAACTCAATTATGGAACTAGAAAACTCAGATTCGAGCCCCCAAGTTCGGATACGAGTACCTTTCTCTGGACTTGGTGGCGAATGTTGCAGTTCAAATGGCTTCAAGGATGATCACGGTAACAGCCTTGTGGAAGGAGCATCCACCAAGAAGATTGAAATCTGCATGGGTGGAAAGTGCAAGAAGCTGGGAGCTGCTGCTTTGTTAGAAGAATTTGAGAGCAAGGTTGGTGCAGAGGGCACTGTTGTTACCTGCAAGTGTATGGGGAAGTGCAAGACCGCTCCAAATGTAAGGGTCTTGAATTCTCCAAGTGGAACTGAAGCAAGAAGCAATGAAGACTCTGCTAGACTTGGGATTAATCCTACATGCACTGGTGTTGGGTTGCAAGACGTGGGTCTGATCGTTGCAAGTCTTTTGGGCAAGGACATAGATGATGAATGTCTGATGCTCTCTTCGAGTCTTTAAATCTTTTTGTTTTATTATCTTCTGATGTCTTCAGTCTTTTTGTCTGTGAATATGGGATATAGTACATTTGATATTCGCATGCAAGAAACTATCTTTATTTCCAGGCTTTAGCGGATAATGTAATTGTAAATGTTTTATCTTTCACTTTTAAGAGAAATGTGAATGCAGCTTGTGATTTTTACTTTGTTGGATTAAATTGGAGCCAAATTTCATATTCTTTCTGCCGTCTTTCTCGTCTATGCTAGGCTCATCAAATTGCTCATCGGCGAGTGTCATCGCTAAAATATTTGGTAATGCATTACTGGCAAAAAGCCCCTAGACTCTCTAACTGATTTACGTAAAATGTCGGGCTGGGGAGACGAGTACCTGATGCCATAGAGCAGATCAAGGCACAATTATGGTTGCACATTCTACAACCTCACCAATGACAATGTCTTGGGGGGATAACATATGAAAATTGACTGTGCCTCGATAAATGTTTAAACAATCTTGCTTTATGAAATTCATATAAACTAAAGGATATACTGGTTACAACCACACATAAACTCAAACACACGAGATATATAAAAGATCAAATTCAGCTGACAGCAAATTAACCGCTTAAAAAATGGTGGCATTCATTGATTTATTGTCTAACTACAGGGATTGATAGAACAAAGCCCCAGGCACGTGTCAGACTACATTGGTCAAAGGTTCTTAGTCTTACAAAACCTTTTTGCAGTTCTAAGAAGCACATATAGCCATTTGTTGTGCGGTGCCCTCCCCCCATTTTTTGGTTCTTTAAAAACTGTGAGAAGCCGCATGTACCAGAAAGCTGGCAAGACAGATGTTATTCCATGGGATGCTGCTCCAATCTTTATGATCGCCTGTCCAAGTGTAAATAGAAGAAAATTGAGGCACATAATCTTCAGAATTAGAGTAAATTTCATAGCACACACAAAATATTTAATCGTGATGGCATGCAGCGTCACTAAATTACACCTTGAAACACATGAAATCAACAAATGCATCCATAATTGATCAGGCACTCTTGTTTAAAGTTCTATTGCATGATTTGCACCCAAAGCATAGTATATTCCACAGAGCAGGTTATGTCCCCGTGAATTGCCCCATCTCCCCTTTGTCCCTCCTTCTCACCTCCTTCTCACCTCTCATGAATAATTGCTCCTAGGACTATTAATGCATCAGAACCACCAGTACACTATCGAGTTTTTAGAAATGGCACTCATATTTATATGTATTATCTAGCATTAATCTAATTCCATTCTTCCGTTAGTATTGTGATATGGAGAAAAATTTTGCAAAGGAATGATTCTAAATGATTAGACAGGTTAAACAGTTTCATAAACAAGACATGAAGATTCATCATGATGCAATTTGATTAGAATCAGTAAAATTTCACGAACATATGATCCACAATGCAGCATTGAGGAAATATTTTTGTTTTTCCTAGTAATAGATTTAGTGCATAGGATTCTCTTTCTACAGGAATGCATATAGCTATGTTTACACTAACAATGAGTAACAACAATCAGCTTAAGCAAACAAGTAATGTTGCTTAACAGAAAACACTGCAAAAAACAATCCAACAGGAAACAAAGTAAAAAACCTTACCTCTTCATTCCATCCAAAGCAGTTTGCAAGTTTTCCCATCCTCAACTAACTGATTAATAGCATCCCTAAATTTTTCATAATCCTCCATTGTATTATAAACCTGATGAGAAATTCTAGCATATCCTGTAATAAACCCATCTTTATCCCTAGCTCCACCCTCCCCGTCCTTCAAAACCTGAAAAAAAATTGGAACCTCAACCTCATAACAATCCTGCAAATGCGACCTCAACCTCACCGCATCTTCCTCACTATTAAGACACAACCTCGAAGGCAAACCAACCATAATCATCCCTGCACGCATCTCTGGAGGCGACCCTAGATTCGTCCCCCAAGCCTCCGCCAACATCTTCCCCATCTTCACCACTTCATCATGGTTCCTCTTCATTATCCATCAATCCCTCCTTCGAAGCGGTTAACAAACTCTAAAACAGCGGGAACCACTAACTGAGAACTATAATCCCGAGTCCCAATCCAGGCGCTTTCGATAGACAATCCATTTCCATACTCGTGTCAAACAACAGGGTGATGCACATCAAATGATAAACGAGTTTTTTTACAATATAAAAATGCTACAGAAGCCGGGCAAAAAAACCATTTATGTAAATTGCTAACATAAAAATCAGTTCCAACTTCTTTAACATCTACTTTCACGCTCCCAATCGCGTAAGCCGCGTCTACGAAAACCTGCTCTATCCCTTCTGCTCTACAAATCCTAACTAATTCTTTTACAGGAATAACAACTGATGGCATTGATGTAATATGATCGATAATCGCTAACCTTATCTTTCTACCGTGGGATTTTCCTTTCTTGATTGATTTTTTCAATTCGGAAATAATTTCTTCCTCTGAATTTACTGGGAATGGTAACCGTACCTCGATGACGACGCCGCCGGCTCTCGTTACGTACGCTTGGATTGATTTTTTAACGGCTTGAAACGCACAATGGAGCATTAAAACAGTGTCATTTTTGTCTAACTTTCCTTCGGCGAAACTACGGCCGATCTGTTGGAGGACGATGGCAGCGGCGGTTGTGGCATTATCGACGAGGGAAACCTCGTCGACATGGTCGGCGTTCATGAGGTCCTTTATGATTTTCCGCGACGCCGTTATTCCGTTTCGAAGGGTATTAAAGTAAAAAGCATCAGGTTGTCGGAGGAACAGGAGCTGCCATTGGCGTTGGGCCACAAGAACCGAACCGGGGCAGCAACCAAAACTCCCATTGTTGATTCGAGTGACACGTCGCTGGTGGTGAGAGAATTCGTCTCTGATTTCGGGTTCCAATATGAACTTGGATGAAATTTTGAGCTTTTTGGAGCTGCGGTGAGTCGACTCACCGTTCCGAGGGTCTTCGTGCTCCATAGGCCGAGCTAGGGAGCAAATGGAAGAAAATGAAAGAGAATTAGGGTTTTGTTAAGAAAAAAGGCATGGTTTTCAAGAACTAGAGAGTTCCCATAGACCACGAATTCCAGAGTTTAATTTTAACAATTTGGTTTTTTTTTTTTTTTTTTTCCTTTTTCTTCTTTGGTTTTTATTTGCAATAAAAGGACTTATAGTAAACAGGGCCAGAGTGGGAGTGGAAAATTTGAAATGTGTCGTTTAATTTCCTTAAAAAATTTGTTTATTAACATAACCGTTAGATTATGAGAATGTCCTTTTCGGGAATATAAAAATCAGGGGCCTCGAATTTGACACGTAGGAAAGAGAGGCCGAGTCGTTTCTGTTAAGAACACGTCATAGTTTATGCTGTCAAAAGCGGTTGACCAATCAAAAGAGGCGATCGAGCCAGCAGTGCAAAAAAACATTGCCGTAGGTTGACAACAATGGGCTGTGCCTCTGATGCTGGCCTCGCCTAAGCCTCGCCCATGTCGAAAACCCAACACGGAGACGAAGAAAGAGAGAGAGTAAAAAAATATATATTATGATTCCTAGTCTTTGATAATTCAAAGACTCCTCTTTCTTTCTTATTTCCTCTCTTATCAGGTATGAAATTTCTTTAATTCTATTATAAACATAAAAAACCCTAGATTAATTCCGGGGTTTTTTTTTTTTTTTAATTTTGGATTTTGGAAGAAGGGATTGTATTGAAGCTTGAATTGAGGTGAAGATAAAGAGCTAAGTGATCAAGTTCCTTCTTCTTCTTCTTCTATTTTTTTTTTTTATCCTGGATGGTGAATTGTGTTGAAATCATTGGGGGTTCTTGAATCTTGATTGAATTCTTGCTTTTGCGGCGGATATCTTGAATTGGGTTTCCTTCAAAGTCCAATTTTGTTCTTTGTTTGTTTTATGGGATTTTAAGGTTTTCTTTCGGCTTTTGCTGGTGAACACTGCATTGAAGTTCTCTGCAAAAGCTTAAAGCCGTTATTCTCTGTCAAGGTCTGAAATTTGGTTGCGTTACTTGTTTTAGCCCCCGTATTTCACTGTTCTTGATATTCAATCAAGGAAAGCTTTCAATTGCAATGGCTACTCGGCCACAAGCTTCTCCCGGATACTCTAGGACTATGACTCCTCAGATGGGTTATCCTTCGCCTAATCCTGATAAAAGTTCAATTGCTCCTGCTCCTTCCACAATCTCACCTGGAGCACCTAGATTTCCTCCGCCAAATTTACAACATGATCAGATCGCTTCCCCTTCAATAAAAAATCCTACTATGCTATCACCGGCAAATGGGGTCAAAACTGGAAGCCCTATTCCCCATCTGAGCACTCCCCCTGGCCCTCCTGTATTTACATCACCAGTCCGGCCTGCTGCTGTGCCTTTCCGAACCTCTCCTGCGACTCCTCAGCCAGTTGCTTTCTCATCTGGGTCATCCTTGCCCACATCTTCACCTCTCCAATTTTCAAATGGGTCAGTTGAGCTGCAACAGCAACTTCCCAGTGCTATAGAGGAATCTGTGCCCGATGGAGAGTCACCATGCGTTTTATTCTCAGCTCATAAGGTAGCTTTCATTCTCTGTGAGATGAAATGAAAAGCTGAAATATTTTTTATAGGTCTATTTTCTACGACTTTGCTATTGAACTCATTTCTTTTTCAGATTTTATGATTATGCACATATTATTAAATTTTACGATCTCTTTCTCTTTGCAATTATATGCTCTTTTTCTATTTATAATTTATTTGTCCTCCTCTTCCATCCATTTTGTATATTAGGTGTTGAAACACAAGAAACAAGCCAACATACCTAGTTTAGGTTTTGGGGTATTGGTTTCTCCTGGGAGGGAGACGTCAGCAGGTCCTCAAGTGATACAACGTGATCCTCATCGATGCCATAATTGTGGAGCTTATTCAAATCTTTACGCCAACATACTAATTGGCTCAGGCCAATGGCAATGTGTAATCTGCCGGAATCTAAATGGAAGTGAAGGTGAATACATTGCATCAAGCAAGGAAGAGCTCCATAGTTTTCCTGAGCTAGCATCACCTTTGGTTGATTTCATTCAAACAGGGAATAAAAGATCAAGTTTTGTTCCAGTTACTGATTTGAGAACATCTGCACCGGTTGTTCTTGTCATTGATGAATGTTTAGATGAGCCACACCTTCAGCATTTGCAGAGCTCACTGCATGCATTTGTCGATTCAGTGCCACCAACAATAAGAATTGGGATAATTTTGTATGGTCGCACGGTATCAGTCTATGACTTTTCAGAGGAATCCATAGCATCCGCTGATGTGATTCCAGGTGGCACTTCACCAACTCAGGAGACCTTGAAAGCATTGATTTATGGAACTGGTATATACTTGTCGCCAATGCATGCTTCAAAAGAGGTGACACACCTAATATTCTCTTCATTGAGGCCATACAAGTTGAATGTTCCAGAAGCATCAAGAGATAGGTGCTTGGGTACTGCGGTTGAGGTTGCTCTGGCTATTATTCAAGGACCATCTGCTGATATGTCTCGAGGTGTAGTTAAAAGGCCAGGTGGTAATAGCAGAATCATTGTGTGTGCTGGTGGACCGAATACTTATGGCCCTGGATCTGTCCCTCATTCTTATACTCACCCTAATTATCCTTATAAGGAAAAGACAGCATTGAAATGGATGGAGCATCTTGGTCGCAAGGCTCATCAACATAACATAGTCGTTGACATTCTCTGTGCTGGAACTTGCCCTGTAAGGGTTCCTGTACTGCAGCCTCTTGCAAAAGCTTCAGGGGGTGTGTTGGTTCTTCATGATGACTTTGGTGAAGCCTTTGGTGTGAACTTACAAAGGGCATCTGCAAGGGCCGCTGGTTCCCAGGGTTTGTTGGAGATTCGCTGTTCTGATGATATTCTTGTTACTCAGGTTGTGGGTGCTGGTGAAGAGGCACATATAGACACCCATGAAACCATTAAAAATGATATTTCTCTATGTATTCAAATGCTTAGTGTTGAGGAAACACAATGCTTCTCAATTTCGATGGAGAATACACATGACATCAAAAGTGATTACGTATTTTTCCAATTTGCTATTCAATATTCAAATGTTTATCAAGCTGATATAGCTAGAGTGATTACTATCAGATTGCCAACTGTGGATAGTGTTTCAGCTTATCTTCAAAGTGTTCAAGATGAGGTGGCTGCAGTCCTAATTGCCAAGAGGAGTCTCTTGCAAGCAAAAAGTAATTCTGATGCAATTGATATGCTGACAACAATTGATGAAAGAATTAAAGACATTGCTTTAAAATTTGGGTCTCAAGTGCCGAAGTCAAAGCTTTATCGGTTCCCAAAGGAAATCTCTTTACTACCAGAGCTTCTATTCCATCTTAGGAGGGGCCCACTGTTAGGAAATATAGTTGGTCATGAGGATGAGAGGTCTGTACTGCGGAATTTGTTTTTGAATGCATCCTTTGATCTTTCACTTCGCATGGTTGCCCCGCGCTGTCTGATGCACCGGGAAGGAGGCGCTTTTGAAGAGTTGCCTGCTTATGATCTTGCCATGCAGTCTGATACAGCTGTTGTTCTAGACCATGGTACGGATGTCTTCATTTGGTTGGTATGTAAATTTACCCATCTTTTAGCTTTGTCATGTTCTATCTGCTATATTTGCTTTATGTTGTCATCTTTGAGCCATGGAGTCTGGCATGTATGTGTGTGCTATACAGGGTCCAGTTTTTGCTTTGTGATTGAATATATATCCAATAACGTATGTAGTTTGAAGGCGAGTTGCAAGCAAAGTCCTTAGAACATTTGTTCCTATGCTCTTCATGAACACCATCAGGCCTGGTGGTACAGATAACATGCCACAGTGGAAAAGTAATGCTGGCCTGGTGTAGAGGGAAGAAAAGGATTGGAATTGAGAAGCTATTCTTGCCTTGCTAAATGCACAAAGTAAATGCGGTTGCATCTACCTCATCCATCTAACATGTTTATATCATTGTCACTTTGTGAATGGAATTCTGCATAGCATACATCTCTATATATTTACACTGTGGCAATCTGAACCTGGATGTATGCATTTTCTTGTTCACTGTTCTTCCATCTGTTCTGTATGTGTTTGGATGGTATGTTTGTGTTTTGAGAGAGACCGGTGGATTATATTGTTTAGAGTTGTCTTTAGAGACTGGTGGATTACGTTTATTTATTTATTTTGCTGGGTACAGTAATTAAACATCTTCCTGTCAATTGTTGGATTCAGGGTGCTGAACTTGCAGCCGATGAAGGAAGAAGTGCAGCAGCTTTGGCTGCTTGTAGAACATTGGCAGAAGAGCTCACAGAGTTACGATTTCCAGCGCCTCGGATTCTTGCATTCAAGGTTCTTTTCCCCTTAATTGATCCGCACATTCTATTAACTGTGTGTTCTTGTGTTTTTATTTTTTTAGCCATCTGACCGTAAAAGAACCTAATGATCTGATTTTATTGCAGGAGGGGAGCTCTCAGGCTAGATATTTTGTTTCTCGGCTGATACCAGCACACAAGGATCCTCCTTACGAGCAGGTAAGAGAAAAAAATAATGGGAAGGCTTCTTAGCGTTTAGTCCTAACAGGTCTATTTGTTTCTGCGTGTATTTTACTGGAAAATGAAGAACCACATGTATTTGGGAAACAGTTAAGTAATAAATAACTGCCTCGTGATACTGATGCAGGAAGCAAGATTTCCACAGCTTCGAACCCTGACAATAGAACAGCGGACAAAATTGAAAAGCAGTTTTATTCACTTTGATGATCCCAGCTTCTGTGAATGGATTCGGAGTTTGAACGTAATGCCCCCAGAACCAATCTAAGAGATGTGTTACCTTTTTTTGCGGTTAAAATTCCCACAAAGTTGCATCCAACCATCATTTATTGGAACCTTTCTTCTTCTTCTTCTTCTTCTTCTTCTTCTTCTTCTTCTCCCTGTGTAACTCATTCATCTTTTCTTTTTATCATTTTTTTTTCTTTTCTATAAAAATTTCCCTCTCTTTTAAACTTCAAAGCAACAGCTATTCTTCGTAGTAATTCCTAAGTTTAACATTGTTGTCTCTTTCTTGGCTGAAAATGCTTTGCTAGAGTCACTGCAGCATGTTTACTTTGGAGAAGAGTTCAATTCAAGGAAATCTGATTTTGTAGCTTTTGCCTTGGCTTTGTGAGCCAGGAGATAACATCTAATTCTATTTGGTGCAATCAAGCTGTGGTTTCAGCATTTGGTTTGACTTGTAATTGAATTTTTTTGTTCATTGAGAAGAGTCAAATATAAATCTCTCCTTCAACTCAGCTACAGTTTTGGGTTAAGGTTGATGGTCCACTGGAATTGTGAAATTACAATTTGGACAAAAAAAGAGATTTTCACATGCTTTTTTAAAACTATAACAATTTAAATTACGTTTTGCAACTCACAGAAAAAGAAAAAATCCTTCGTGAAATTGTGTTTAGTATATGGTGATTTTTTTTTGAAAAAAATTATGGAGAAAAATTTTGAATTGATAAAAATAGATATTGTATTTTTTTTTCTTATTAATAAATTCAAAGTAATAATTATAATTTCATTGTAAAACTTTCGCTGAATAATTTATTAAGGAAAATAAACAAGTGCATAGACAGAATTATTGAAATCCAGTAATTTATAAAATAAACATTTTAGCCACTATCCCACCATATTCCAAAAGGAAAAAATATTTGGTGGCTCGGTATAATAATATTAAATAATAATAGAATCAGAATTAGGAGCCGGGTAGACCCGTAATCGGCGGCTGTATCACGGGTTACTGAGCTGTTCCGGTCCTGAGTAGTAATGTAATCACCGACTATTTAGCATTTACCCACAAAACGGGTCAACAAATAAAATTAAAAAACGAATATTTGATTACTAGTCAAAATCCAGGGTTTTACACTCGCACACCCTTCTCCGCTCCGCCTATTTTCTTTCTTTATCTCCTCGTCACTGTGTCTAAAGAAGAAGCTAACGCAATCAAAGCATCCACCACCATTGTAGGTAAGATTTCACATTTTCCCCCTTTTCTTCATTTTTTTTCCTTTCCCTGTTTTTCAATTCTATTTTCGTTTCCCACGTCCTAAATTTAACCTGCCCTTTAATTCTAATTCCAAATCTGATAATTAATTAAGAATTTTTTTTTTAGTTTTTGTGGTTGATTCATGGTTGCCCATCTGAATTTTGATGTAATTGCTGCACGCATCCTTAACATGTTTCTGTTTCCTTAAAAAGTCAAAATAGTCTTCCGACAGTCCAGGAAAAATCACTTTCAAATCGGCGGTTGGTAATAGTTTATTCAGTTTTGTATTCGATCTGAATGTTGGTCAAGGCGTTAAAAGTAATGGGTAATTCTTGCTCGCCAATCAAGATACTTGTTCTCCGACGATTTCTTTTAGCATTGTTCAGGACCCAGCATATAGTAATATGTATAATTACTAGGGTAGCCGCTTTATTTTGCCTTAATGCGGATGTTAACTGTTTAAACTGGTAGGGATGCACTGTTTCTAATTGTTCTAATTTTATGTTTTACGTTGTTCGGACTTGAAGTTGATGATATGGCTGGAGGGGAGCAGAAAAAATGTGGCAGTGGTAAGTATTTTTTTTGCTTGGGTTATTTAGCTTTTAATCTTTTATTATTAATGCGTGCATAAAGGTTTGGTGGTTTCTAAGTTTGCCAATGTTGTGTTGTTGTTGATATTTTAGGAGGGAAAAAGAAGGAAGTGAAGAAGGAGACTGGTTTGGGTCTCTCCTTTACCAAGGATGAGAATTTGGGGAATGGTAGAGGTATTTTTGTTGCAATGGGGCAATGATTTAGTGCTTGTTATACTACATTATTGGGATCTTAAAATCTTATTATTATGTAATTATTTTGGCTTTTATAGGTTGTTGTCAATGGTGAAATGATTGAGTACTATGACATTTCTGGCTGTTATATTTTGAGGCAATGGGCAATTTCAATTTGGGAGATCATGCAAGTGAGTCATATGATGTTTATAGTTTATACTCATATTGCACTTTAATTAGTAAATAAGAAGTGTTTATTAATTACAAGGAAAAGATTGTTATGGATGTCATTCCTTGATCATTATTTTCTTTCCATTTCCTTTCATGGTTAACTTATCCATGATGTTAAACTGTAGACATTCTTTGATGCGGAAATCAAGAAAATGAAAGTCAAGAACTGCTATTTCCCTGTCTTTGTATCTCCAGGTGTTTTGCAAAAGGAGAAGGACCACATTGAGGGTTTTGCTCCAGAGGTAAGAACTAAGTTTTTCTGGCATAACTGACCTTGTGGAATGCTCCTCAGCTTGAAATTGTTATTTTTTTATCAAATTTTTTGAAGCCATTTGAAACTCATTTTGTCCCTAAACTTTTCTGCCCTTTTTTTAATGATTTTCATTTTGTGGAAAATTCATTGTTTAGTTTCTATCTAGGGCTCAAAATTGGAGTTAGGTCTTATATAGGGTTTAAATTGGAGTTAGTTTTTATTATCTAGAGCTCAAAATTGGAGTAAGTTCTTCCTCATTTGAGCTAGATACTGTCATGAATATGCTGAAAAAAATGGAAATATTTTAATGTTTTTAGACTTCTTAGAACTGGATTGACGAAACACTTATCTTTATGTTTTATGCAAATTTTTTTTTTTTACTGGAAATGATATGTAATTTAATGAAAAAATAACCTGTTAATGGCTTTGGGATCCTGGTTTAACAGGTTGCTTGGGTGACCAAATCTGGGAGTCTGAGTTGGAGGTGCCAATTGCAATCCGCCCAACTAGTGAGACAGTTATGTATCCCTATTATTCTAAGTGGATAAGAGGACACCGTGACTTGCCTTTGAAACTTAACCAGTGGTGCAATGTTGTTCGATGGGAATTTAGCAATCCCACACCATTTATCAGGTAGTTTGTCTTATACTTGTAGAACTTTAGCTTTTCCAGTGTGATCTTGCCTCCTTCCCCCCCAATTCCACCTAGTGGATGGGATATTCTATGCCATACATGTAATGACATGTTAATTTTCAGATAATTTTCTAATCTTGGATCAAGTTTCTGAACCTTAATTATTAATGTTTACAGATGTGCAGATTACTTTCTTAATTCTTTTGAAACCAAGTTAGAAATTTAATTTAAAATGTTTACAGATGGTCTGTACTAATCAACTCCTTGATTGTAGGAGTCGTGAATTTCTATGGCAGGAAGGGCATACTGCCTTTGCAACAAAAGAAGAGGCAGACACGGAGGTAGCTTAGAATTTTTACTTTTGACCAATATCTCAACCATAGAGAGGTGAAGCCTGTCCATTGTATTATTAGTGTACAATGGAAAAGGGAAGGTCAAAGTAAATGTAAAATTTGCATGGCTGATCCTTTTCTTTTCCTTATTTATCAACAATTGACTTTTGGTTTAAAACCAGTATTGTGTCAGAATTGCTGAATTAAGTATTTAAGTAAGCATTTCAGAAATTTTGCTTGTGATTTTATTTTGAATAATGCCAATATTTTGTTGGTTTCTGCACTGTGTCAAAAATAAATAGTCATAATTCATTATCTTACAAATCTCACTTGCCTTGCCTTTTGAAGTATCATTGAAGAATGTGCTAGATCCTTAGAACCTTGTACATGTGTTAAATATGGTTTTTTTTTTTTTTTTATAAATATTTTATGAAAGGAAGACTGAGGTGCCAAAAATAACATGCTGAGTGATATGCATTTTATTCTTGAATTACTTTGTGCTTTGTAGATTTTGGACTTTAGCTTTAACATCTAATCACTCATGAAATATGCATTTTCACATCATTTGTGATAGCTCATACTGTCAACCAACCAGACAATAAAGGGACTAAGTAACCAATAAATGCTGGAGATGTCAGCTGGATCTCTTTACATATGACTAAATTTCGATATATTTCAGGTTCTTCAAATATTGGAATTGTACCAGCAAATATATGAAGAATTCTTGGCTATTCCTGTTACGAAAGGCAGGAAGAGTGAACTGGAGAAGTTTGCTGGTGGACTTTACACAACTAGTGTTGAGGTATGGTATAAGCTATCATACATTTGTGCAAGTAATAACTATCTCTACTTATTTTCATGATCAATGAACCTAAAGCTGTCTGCTTGGTCAATGTGCTTTAATCTAAATTGAGTAACTTTTAATCTGTTAACTATATGATAGGCATTTATTCCGAACACTGGGCACGGTATTCAAGGTGCAACCTCCCATTGTTTGGGCCAAAACTTTGCAAAAATGTTTGAGATAAACTTTGAAAATGAAAAGGGAGAGAAGGCTATGGTCTGGCAGAATTCATGGGCGTATAGTACTCAAACAGTACAACTTTTGATCTCTTTACTTAGAATGTTCTTAGCATTTATTATTTCAAGTCTTTTATCATGCCATCCCTTCTATTTATATTTTGTTGTTTTGGGTGATTACATGGGCTTGCAAGTCAAAAGAATCCTTAATTACTCGTATAATTCCCCTTCTATTTTTTTCTCCTTATTCCTGCTATTCTGCTTATGTTTTCTACTATTTTTCAAATTTTCACAGATTGGGGTAATGGTAATGGTTCATGGGGATGACAAAGGCTTAGTGCTGCCTCCAAAAGTAGCAGCCTTGCAAGTTATTGTGATTCCTGTGCCTTACAAAGATGCGGATACTCAAGGTATTTGTGATGCCTGTGTTTCCACTGTAGCAACCCTCTCAGATGCTGGTATTCGTGCTGAAGCTGATCTTAGAGAAAACTACTCACCTGGTTGGAAGTACTCAAACTGGGAAATGAAAGGTGTTCCCCTAAGGATTGAAATAGGACCTAGAGACTTGGCAAATAATCAGGTGAACCCCCATCCCTTTTTTAATGCTGCTTTCCTTCTATTCTTTGATTTATTATTTTCGTATTGTATCTATACAGTTGAAACCAGAAAAGTGCTTTATCTGACAGGTGCGTGCAGTTCGCCGTGACAATGGAGCAAAAACCGATATCTCTAGAGTCTTTTTGGTTGAACAAGTAAAAGGAATGTTGGACAAGATTCAACAGCACCTGTTTGATGTTGCAAAACAAAAGCGAGATGCCTGTGTTGAAGTTGTAAAAACTTGGGAAGAGTTTGTAACAGCTCTAGGGCAAAAGAAATTGATCTTAGCTCCTTGGTGTGATGAGGAGGCATGACTTGAAT